TTGTTTGGGCTGAGACCGGATTTTGATTGGAGTCAAGTTTTCAAAATTGCGAAAGAAAAAACTTTTCTCGGTGAGAGGCATTTTTTCTGTTTTTAGTGGTGGTTGTTTTAATTTGGATCGTGAAAAATTGCTTGCTTATAAACACGGAATCAATGAATCCTTTTGAGTGGTCAAAAGTGCAAACTAGTTGATTAGTTGTACGGACATCATTGATTCTAACTTTGGAGCAATTAAGGGAACGCCAAAAATAGAAAGTCAGCAAAGATTGCCTGTCATTCCTTTGATTTGCTTCAAAATTAGAATCAACGATGTCCGTGCAACTAATCTGCCCTTTAACTTCCACAGTCGTTTGACTTAGCCTCGTCCAGCGGGACTATGTCGTTGGTTAAATTTGTGCAAGTGCAGGAAGAGATAGTTGTTAAGGAAGGAAGTGAAGAGTTTTGCTCTAGGTACTGAGACGACCTCAACTTTAGACTTGGACTTTGTTGTTGACTTAACCATCAGAAATGATGAGACCTGCGCTTAGTGCAGTGTACCACAGTGGAATAGTTCACAACATGATCCATTACAAATAGTGCGTACAGTGCTACTTCACGCTACTGACGGTCGCTGTCCTCGCTCAATTAATTGGTGTTCTCCCCGCTAAGTCTTTACCTCGCAGGGAAGACATTATCACAAAGGTGAACTTCTTCTCCTCTGTGGTAACCCCTCAACAGATACAACTTGAAGCACTAGTTCATCAATTACGCTCTGATTAGATACAACGCATACGTTTCAGTTTGTCTCCATCCTTGTCTCTTGCTTTAGACATCCAACAGTGTCTTATCTGTCGGTGGCTGTATTCAAATAAGAAGATAGTCAGCTGGTCTCCAGCTGGTCCATTTAGCTCACATACGCGTCAGTCCATTTCGTTTGTGGAATCTTCGGACGTTTTATTTGCCACTAATCTACTCTGAATTTCTTATTGCCATCTGTCGTATGTTCATCTCATGATGTGACCGGCCCATCAATGCTTCGCTCTAGCAACTGCTCTGCTGGGTCACGAAGATTGGACATCTTCGTATCCGTCTGCGAAGTACAGCGGGATATTATTTGTGATGGGTCATCTCGAAAGACTAAAGACCGCTTGAATAGTACACGAGCGTTAGCGCATAAAAATGGCGAATTAAGCTTTTTCCGCGCTTCTGAAGTCCGCATTCACTAAAAAATGCGCGTTGGTGGGCGGGATGCGGAATGAAGGAGACCGGGTGTGGAAGACTTCCGACGTATTTTTGATGAATGCGATCTGAAAAGCTTCAAAAAGGCTCATTTTCGCCATTTTCATGCGCTGAAAAGCCCGAACATGGATTTCTTGTGGCGAGAAGGCTCCAATAAGGTAAAAAGCTGGGAAACATTGGCCGAAACGCTGCCTTTGCAGTCTTTGGCAAAATTTCGCTTCCCCATTTTTTCGCCTTTTCGGACGCTCTCGTTATGAGGAATTCACATATAGGCTTTGCAGCTCATGAAAATGGCGAAAATGAGCTTTTTCTGAAGCTCTAAAGTCCGCATTTAGTGAAGATGAGCCGGAAGTCATTTGAGGTCCGCCTCCTCGTTCCAGGTTCCTTCCACTTACACACCATTTTCCAGTGAATAGTGGACCTGAAAAGCTCCAAGAAAGCTCATTTTGCCATTGTTATGCGCTAAAAAGCCCAGATGGACTCCTTATGGCGAAAAGCCTCCGAAGAGGTGGAAGACGGAAAGACGGCTTACGCTGCTCTTCTTCCCCTGTTAGATTCTTCCTTAAAGTTCTGAAGTCGTTCTCTAAGTTTGACAAACGTTCACGATATACGTAAAAAGATGTTTCCGAGATAGAGGTGCCTTCAATTCTATTTCCGCATCTTCGCAAATGCAATTCCTCGTAAACTGGTTCATCTTGTTCATTACAACGGCCAACCCGCAACCCTTGCTCTGCCTCACAAGCGACATGCAAATTAATTAGCCATAATCTCGAAACGATTAATTGAAAATTGTTTTTTTACAAGATCGTCCGTACGGTTGGTTCCTTCATTTGGACTGTCCACATGGATGGTAGACATGGAAATGGACCTTTGAGGACGTCATCATAACCTTGCCCAAAGTTGGTGTGGAGAATTTCACAAAACCCTGAAAGATATTGCTGCAGTGCACATTTGTAGAAGTAGTGATCTCTACAAAAACTGACCATAAATGTACATGCTGACTATTTAGTATATCGTGAACCACGGCGTCGAATAAGTGGTGGCCACGCAGTAATCTGACAATTTGTTAACGTCTTTTATCTATGTTTCGCTTTCTTCTGACGCAGGTAAATAACAGCAGCCAAAAATTGTTGAAGATAGTACTTTTTAAAGTTTAGAATTTCAGATCACGGACCTTCCTAGCAAATTCAAGAATATGCCGTTCGTGTAAATAACGCACATGGAAGGGACAAAAAATTGAAAGACCTTTCTCTAGAGATAGAAGATGTACTCACAGGTATCCGTGAGATCAATCTCTGGGTAATGTTTCTCGTTCAGTTTTGAATCGTTTCATTACAAACCTTGCAGAGAACGCTCTGAGTTACGAGCACAAGGAGCTAGTAACTAGTTTAGACTTGAAAATATCCAGGTGCTTGAAAATTTTAGAAAACAAGAGAGATTTGGTGTGATGCTTTCTCATGTAGCCTCTTCAGCCTGGAAAACGATGACGAGGAGAGAAAAAAGAGCTTATGCAGTTGAGACAAGACCGATCCCATGGAGGCCACCGTAATAGGCCCTACAGAAAGTCTTGTACGTGGTGGAAACGAAGTTGATTGGATCACCTGTAACTTTGCCTTCTAGAAGACAGATATGTGAGCTTTCGAGTAGAAGAGAATCGTGGACCCCGAGTAATGTGAGCTCATACACATAAAACTTGGCTACTTCAGCAATACCCGAATGTTTGTAGAAAAGGAAGACTTTGACTGAGGTGCCAGAGGACAACATTGGAACGATAGATGGCAATACATACTTGCGTCTTTGGGAAGCACGGGGTAGTAGCAGCACGATCAGGATGTCATCATTTTTCTTTGCACATAGATTCTGTGTTCATGATTGTGACCGTTTTTAACGTTTACTATAACATGTTTTACAAGTAGTTCATGCATGTATATTTTAGACAGAAGATAAAGGAGTGATTATAAAGACATTGTGTTTGTTCTATTGTCGTTCATGAGCTAGACGAAGCAACCAGGATTTTCTCTTCTGGGGGTGTTCGAAAGATCCAACACGAGCCAATACGGCCGAGCCGAGGCCTTTTCCCCGGCCGGCTCGCGGGAGCTGTAAATGCCCGGTTGGAACTGTGCCGCGGCTTTTCCGCTTCATGTCTGAGAATACTTTAGCATCATTGCAAATGTAATTCCCATCGGTTTATATTTCCAACAACTTTTGTTTTCATTCATCTCCATATCTGCTGAAAAAAAGACCATACGTCTTCAATAAATACAAAAAAATATACTCCTTCAGATTGAGACGAATTCGTCATATCTCAAGGTGATAAAAATGGTGTTAAGGTGTTAATGCTTGGAAATTGTTACTGTCTAATTTATTCAAACAACTGTAAATCTTTTTGTGATCATAGTACTTGGTTAATCCTGATCAGATTTGGGCGGAATGGTTTGATTGATTTCGATTCAAATATGACTGAGAAACGTCAGGTATCGTCTGTCATTTACGAACAAATTAAGCATGCATTTTTCTCTTTGATAAGAAAACAGCAACATCGTTGACGGTAGGTCGCGGGTGGGAAAGAAACAATGGATATCAGTAACGGACGAATGAGTAAATGAGTTCTGCTATTTTCAATGATGCACTCCTTTAAATGTATTGACATCTGCTACTCACATCGCTTTAGCATTTAGCAATAGACGTCACGTCCATGACACAAGAAAAAGGTGGCCTTAGTAACCACGGGTAAAGGACTATATGTCGCCGAAAAGGGGGGGCAGCCAACATGAATGATAGCTTGTGCCAGCCACATGCGTTGCGTAGGTCAAATATTTTTCGGATTCTATATTTATGCTATGATGACATCTGGGAATTTGGAAAAAACGCTGGGAGCTTAACAGGCCCTAATCTTCACTTTTCGACACCATTTTCAATCCAGTAAAGAGAACATCGCTTCAAAAATGACACTTCATGCGCGGTATATTGACAACCGCAGAAGTACAGTATGTTTATTTCCAGCTATCGTTCGTCTTTGCACACACCCCCGAAAAGGGGCGGCCCCCGCGGTCATTTGCAATAAATGCATACTCCTGCATATGCACGGAGGTGCACCTTTGTAAGAAGTCCGCGAGGGACCTTCCACATTCGGCGACTTATAGTCCTCCACCCAGAAACCACCAGAGAAATCAAGTGCCGCTTGCGAGTAGGTCGCTACGAAAACAGCTCACAGATAAATATGTAGCCCCATGAATACTCTACCTTTCAAATGCTTAACAGTGACAGAGCACGGTCATAAAATCTTGCGCGGAATTCAGTCATCACTCGTAATGTCAAAGTATGGAGCTTCTAAAACAATGGTTCTGAGGAGCAAAGAGTGCGAAAATTATACAAACTTCTTTTGTAGCAAGTTTGACTGTATTCGTAATTGAAATATGCTGGTACCTTCAGTTCCTAATCGCAAAATTTCCACTTGGGTTAGCTGGCAGGATTATATTCCATTTTTTCTTGACTTTCAGGATCTATTCGATGACTAAGACTTTTACTGTGGAGATAAATCAATCTGAACAGAACTAGTTGTTTTGCAAAGGGTGAGGAAAGTACTATCGGAGATGATTCAAATTAACACGAATTTTTATTAATGACTTGCAACAATACCTCCCTTCTACGTAAATTCAAATTATAATTTAAGTGCACCCTTTGCCGAAACAGATTGTAGAGCGGGATAGTAGTTTAAGCGTTGGTTTTCATTCATTTGCTCCTCGATAAAAGCAGCTCATATCACACATGAGCAGTTCCCCAATGAAATTACTGTTACTAAGCAGTTTCGTAAGTAAACCTTATCGTTGGAGGCAGAGAAATCAATCTATAATTTAGGTTTTTGGTCTCATTGGAACGCTTCATGGAAGAGAGTCTCCCCTGTCAAATGAAGTCATACCTTACTACGATTACGAAACCTATGACGATGACCTGGAAGAAGATTACAATTACTATTACCCGTACGAAGACTACGAGTATTACCCAGATGAGTACTATGATGAAGGAGGAGAAGTTGAATCGCCAACAGATTACGGAAAACGCGATCAGCCGAAATATGAAGGCGAGCCGAAAGATGAAGATAGTGGAGAACCGGTAGATGATGAAGATGAAGGCGAGCCACAAGGTGAAGATTTTTACTCTTATTTTATTTCTACTATTACGCTTAGGGTGCGCCAAATAACAGAAGAAAAAGAAAAACTCAAACACACCAAGTTTAAAACATGCTACCAGCTTGTCCAAGGCTTCAAGGAGATAAACTTTAAACGTATAGGCAAAACTCTAAGGCCTACTAGGTTATAGCTACACTCATTTGACAAAAAGTGATGAGAGTACGCGGTATTGGCTGATAAAAGAACACCTTAGAATATCGCCTTCTCCAAAAAAATTTTTGGATGAAGGCTAGCCGAAAGGTGGATATTTTATTCTTATTTCAAATCTATTAGATTGATGCATAATTCCTTCACCAAAATAGGTACAGACCGCAACAATCCGGAAAAATCTTATATCCTAAATGGGGTTTGATACATCATCAGATAGAGCAAACCTCTCAAAGTTTTGCAGCAGCTTTGATCCAAACGAGGATTGGAACCAAAAACGTAAAAGATCCAAGCGCCCCAAAAAACCGAGAAAAAGTTGGAAGTCCGTCCAGAAAAATTCTTCAAAATTCCTAGCATGCTCAAGCTTTGTGTGTAAGACATTTCTCTATGCAGTTGCTGTATTTTCTATCAGCTAGAAATTGAGAAACGAAGTTTTTCATTATATTAATATCTATATTATCATTTTATTTACATTTATTTTTTTATATTTATTAAGTTTTTCATCATGAAAACCTGTATGACATAAGAAAATCATTGTGTCTACCATTCAAAGTTTTTTGTGTTCTACAGGACCTTAGAAGCGTCAGTGTGAATTTTCAGCTCCTTACAGCAGCTGGTTTACGAGAAAATCGAATTTATAGCAACTAAGCAAGAAAAATTCGGATATGGAAAGCTAGATTCGTCATTTCACGTGAACTAGCTGTTTTAGAAGGCTGAAAATGTGAAGTATTACTGCTAATGGCATGTAATACAACTGTTAGTGCTAGAACATCTCAGCACTAATTTGACAAAAACATGGAAAACTTCGTTTTTTCAATTTATAGGTGAGAGAAAAATACAGCAGCTGCCTAGAGAAATGTCTTATACAAAATGGCAATGCATGAGCAAGTTAAAAATTTTGAAGGACTTTTCTGAACGGACTTCCAATTTTTCCCTGGATTTTGAACGCTTGGATTTTTTCGTTTTTGGCTTTAATCTTCTCTCAATCAAAGCTGCTGCAAAACGAAAAACTATCTTGTAGAGCTAGAGCTCTATCTATTAGGTTGTCGGATAATTTCTGTTACACTTTTTTCTAAAATTTCTAGGAAATCACAGAAGCTTTCTGAAAACCCCAAATTTGCAATACGCTTAGGACATAGCAGGATCTACCTACCAGCATGATTGATGACGCAAGTGCACTAATGACCAACATTTAAAGCAGTTTTGTAAAAGCAGTCAAATTTTTCAGTTTTTGTCTGATCTAATTCTCTGCACGTACTTGCGCTTTCCCTCTTCCAGAATTTTTTTAGAACGTATTTTGGCATTGTCTCTCAAATGGAGGCATTCCGGCGCCTCTAGCGTTTCAAAAACAAGGGGTGAAAAAAAGGTCAAAAAATTCAAAAACTTTCCCAAATTCTTCTTTTTATGTGCATCGCATAGAAATGAATACAGAAAGCATAAAAACAATTTTTTGAAATTTTTCAAAGACGTTTTCTTCGTAAAAATTCCGATCATTGCAAAGATGGCGCACACCGAGACTTGAACCGCTCAGAAAAACGTGTGCAGACATGTCTGCGTTATCCCCCCATATTAGGTAAACGCTACAGACTATGCCCTACCTGATTACCACATTGTTCGGTCTATCGCTCATCAAATGAGAGAAAGCCAGCTCATTTACAAAAATGGGAAGAAACGGATTTTCAGCCACAAAATGAGTGTTTTGCGCACGGATCGCGGATGCGACGGTACCCTTGTATAGGCCTTTTGACCCTGCCCATACGCCGTAAACATGAGATTTTTCCAAAGCTTCTGAGATTTTTAAGAATTAATATAAAAAGTGTAACAGAAATTATCCGACAACCTAATAATAATATATCAAACCCGATTTGGGAAAGAGGATTATTCCGGATTATTGCGGTCGATACCTAATTTTGAACTTTGCATCAACCTGATATTAATACGCTTAGGGCGCGCCAAATAGCAAAAGAAAAAGAAAAACTTAAACACTTTAAGTAAATATGATACCAGCTTGTCCAGTTTTTCAAAGAGATAAATGTCAAACGTATAGGCGAACCAAAATCTAATGCCTACTAGGATATAGCTATACTCATTTGAAAAACTGATGAGAGCACGCGGTATTGACTTGAAAAAAACGACCTTAGAATATCGCATTCTCAAAAAAAATCTATTTTAGATGAAGGCGAGCCGAAAGAAGAAGATGAAGGAGAACCCGTAGATGATGAAGATGAAGGCGAGCCGAAAGAAGAGGATGAAGGAGAACCCGTAGATGATGAAGATGAAGGCGAGCCGAAAGAAGAGGATGAAGGAGAACCCGTAGATGATGAAGATGAAGGCGAGCCGAAAGAAGAAGATGAAGGAGAACCCGTAGATGATGAAGATGAAGGCGAGCCGAAAGAAGAAGATGAAGGAGAACCCGTAGATGATGAAGATGAAGGCGAGCCGAAAGAAGAAGATGAAGGAGAACCCGTAGATGATGAAGATGAAGGCGAGCCGAAAGAAGAAGATGAAGGAGAACCCGTAGATGATGAAGATGAAGGCGAGCCGAAAGAAGAAGATGAAGGAGAACCCGTAGATGATGAAGATGAAGGCGAGCCGAAAGAAGAAGATGAAGGAGAACCCGTAGATGATGGAGATGAAGGCGAGCCGAAAGAAGAAGATGAACGAGAACCCGTAGATGATGAAGATGAAGGCGAGCCGAAAGAAGAAGATGAAGGAGAACCCGTAGATGATGAAGATGAAGGCGAGCCGAAAGAAGAAGATGAAGGAGAACCCGTAGATGATGAAGATGAAGGCGAGCCGAAAGAAGAAGATGAAGGAGAACCCGTAGATGATGAAGATGAAGGCGAGCCGAAAGAAGAAGATGAAGGAGAACCCGTAGATGATGAAGATGAAGGCGAGCCGAAAGAAGAAGATGAAGGAGAACCCGCAGATGATGAAGATGAAGGCGAGCCGAAAGAAGAAGATGAAGGAGAACCCGCAGATGATGAAGATGAAGGCGAGCCGAAAGAAGAAGATGAAGGAGAACCCGTAGATGATGAAGATGAAGGCGAGCCGAAAGAAGAAGATGAAGGAGAACCCGTAGATGATGAAGATGAAGGCGAGCCGAAAGAAAAAGATGAAGGAGAACCCGTAGATGATGAAGATGAAGGCGAGCCGAAAGAAAAAGATGAAGGAGAACCCGTAGATGATGAAGATGAAGGCGAGCCGAAGGAAGAAGATGAAGGAGAACCCGTAGATGATGAAGATGAAGGCGAGCCGAAAGAAGAAGATGAAGGAGAACCCGTAGATGATGAAGATGAAGGCGAGCCGAAAGAAGAAGATGAAGGAGAACCCGCAGATGATGAAGATGAAGGCGAGCCGAAAGAAGAAGATGAAGGAGAACCCGTAGATGATGAAGACGAAGGCGAGCCGAAAGAAGAAGATGAAGGAGAACCCGTAGATGATGAAGATGAAGGCGAGCCGAAAGAAGAAGATGAAGGAGAACCCGTAGATGATGAAGATGAAGGCGAGCCGAAAGAAGAAGATGAAGGAGAACCCGTAGATGATGAAGATGAAGGCGAGCCGAAAGAAGAAGATGAAGGAGAACCCGTAGATGATGAAGATGAAGGCGAGCCGAAAGAAGAAGATGAAGGAGAACCCGTAGATGATGAAGATGAAGGCGAGCCGAAAGAAGAAGATGAAGGAGAACCCGTAGATGATGAAGATGAAGGCGAGCCGAAAGAAGAAGATGAAGGAGAACCCGTAGATGATGAAGATGAAGGCGAGCCGAAAGAAGAAGATGAAGGAGAACCCGTAGATGATGAAGATGAAGGCGAGCCGAAAGAAGAAGATGAAGGAGAACCCGTAGATGATGAAGACGAAGGCGAGCCGAAAGAAGAAGATGAAGGAGAACCCGTAGATGATGAAGACGAAGGCGAGCCGAAAGAAGAAGATGAAGGAGAACCCGTAGATGATGAAGACGAAGGCGAGCCGAAAGAAGAAGATGAAGGAGAACCCGTAGATGGTGAAGATGAAGGCGAGCCGAAAGAAGAGGATGAAGGAGAACCCGTAGATGATGAAGATGAAGGCGAGCCGAAAGAAGAAGATGAAGGAAAACCCGTAGATGATGAAGATGAAGGCGAGCCGAAAGAAGAAGATGAAGGAAAACCCGTAGATGATGAAGATGAAGGCGAGCCGAAAGAAGAAGATGAAGGAGAACCCGTAGATGATGAAGATGAAGGCGAGCCGAAAGAAGAAGATGAAGGAGAACCCGTAGATGATGAAGATGAAGGCGAGCCGAAAGAAGAAGATGAAGGAGAACCCGTAGATGATGAAGATGAAGGCGAGCCGAAAGAAGAAGATGAAGGAGAACCCGTAGATGATGAAGATGAAGGCGAGCCGAAAGAAGAAGATGAAGGAGAACCCGTAGATGATGAAGATGAAGGCGAGCCGAAAGAAGAAGATGAAGGAGAACCCGTAGATGATGAAGATGAAGGCGAGCCGAAAGAAGAAGATGAAGGAGAACCCGTAGATGATGAAGATGAAGGCGAGCCGAAAGAAGAAGATGAAGGAGAACCCGTAGATGATGAAGATGAAGGCGAGCCGAAAGAAGAAGATGAAGGAGAACCCGTAGATGATGAAGACGAAGGCGAGCCGAAAGAAGAAGATGAAGGAGAACCCGTAGATGATGAAGACGAAGGCGAGCCGAAAGAACAAGATGAAGGAGAACCCGTAGATGATGAAGATGAAGGCGAGCCGAAAGAAGAGGATGAAGGAGAACCCGTAGATGATGAAGATGAAGGCGAGCCGAAAGAAGAGGATGAAGGAGAACCCGTAGATGATGAAGATGAAGGCGAGCCGAAAGAAGAAGATGAAGGAGAACCCGTAGATGATGAAGATGAAGGCGAGCCGAAAGAAGAAGATGAAGGAGAACCCGTAGATGATGAAGATGAAGGCGAGCCGAAAGAAGAAGATGAAGGAGAACCCGTAGATGATGAAGATGAAGGCGAGCCGAAAGAAGAAGATGAAGGAGAACCCGTAGATGATGAAGATGAAGGCGAGCCGAAAGAAGAAGATGAAGGAGAACCCGTAGATGATGAAGATGAAGGCGAGCCGAAAGAAGAAGATGAAGGAGAACCCGTAGATGATGAAGATGAAGGCGAGCCGAAAGAAGAAGATGAAGGAGAACCCGTAGATGATGAAGATGAAGGCGAGCCGAAAGAAAAAGATGAAGGAGAACCCGTAGATGATGAAGATGAAGGCGAGCCGAAAGAAAAAGATGAAGGAGAACCCGTAGATGATGAAGATGAAGGCGAGCCGAAGGAAGAAGATGAAGGAGAACCCGTAGATGATGAAGATGAAGGCGAGCCGAAAGAAGAAGATGAAGGAGAACCCGTAGATGATGAAGATGAAGGCGAGCCGAAAGAAGAAGATGAAGGAGAACCCGCAGATGATGAAGATGAAGGCGAGCCGAAAGAAGAAGATGAAGGAGAACCCGTAGATGATGAAGACGAAGGCGAGCCGAAAGAAGAAGATGAAGGAGAACCCGTAGATGATGAAGATGAAGGCGAGCCGAAAGAAGAAGATGAAGGAGAACCCGTAGATGATGAAGATGAAGGCGAGCCGAAAGAAGAAGATGAAGGAGAACCCGTAGATGATGAAGATGAAGGCGAGCCGAAAGAAGAAGATGAAGGAGAACCCGTAGATGATGAAGATGAAGGCGAGCCGAAAGAAGAAGATGAAGGAGAACCCGTAGATGATGAAGATGAAGGCGAGCCGAAAGAAGAAGATGAAGGAGAACCCGTAGATGATGAAGATGAAGGCGAGCCGAAAGAAGAAGATGAAGGAGAACCCGTAGATGATGAAGATGAAGGCGAGCCGAAAGAAGAAGATGAAGGAGAACCCGTAGATGATGAAGATGAAGGCGAGCCGAAAGAAGAAGATGAAGGAGAACCCGTAGATGATGAAGACGAAGGCGAGCCGAAAGAAGAAGATGAAGGAGAACCCGTAGATGATGAAGACGAAGGCGAGCCGAAAGAAGAAGATGAAGGAGAACCCGTAGATGATGAAGACGAAGGCGAGCCGAAAGAAGAAGATGAAGGAGAACCCGTAGATGGTGAAGATGAAGGCGAGCCGAAAGAAGAGGATGAAGGAGAACCCGTAGATGATGAAGATGAAGGCGAGCCGAAAGAAGAAGATGAAGGAAAACCCGTAGATGATGAAGATGAAGGCGAGCCGAAAGAAGAAGATGAAGGAAAACCCGTAGATGATGAAGATGAAGGCGAGCCGAAAGAAGAAGATGAAGGAGAACCCGTAGATGATGAAGATGAAGGCGAGCCGAAAGAAGAAGATGAAGGAGAACCCGTAGATGATGAAGATGAAGGCGAGCCGAAAGAAGAAGATGAAGGAGAACCCGTAGATGATGAAGATGAAGGCGAGCCGAAAGAAGAAGATGAAGGAGAACCCGTAGATGATGAAGATGAAGGCGAGCCGAAAGAAGAAGATGAAGGAGAACCCGTAGATGATGAAGATGAAGGCGAGCCGAAAGAAGAAGATGAAGGAGAACCCGTAGATGAAGAAGATGAAGGCGAGCCGAAAGAAGAAGATGAAGGAGAACCCGTAGATGATGAAGATGAAGGCGAGCCGAAAGAAGAAGATGAAGGAGAACCCGTAGATGATGAAGATGAAGGCGAGCCGAAAGAAGAAGATGAAGGAGAACCCGTAGATGATGAAGACGAAGGCGAGCCGAAAGAAGAAGATGAAGGAGAACCCGTAGATGATGAAGACGAAGGCGAGCCGAAAGAAGAAGATGAAGGAGAACCCGTAGATGATGAAGATGAAGGCGAGCCGAAAGAAGAGGATGAAGGAGAACCCGTAGATGATGAAGATGAAGGCGAGCCGAAAGAAGAGGATGAAGGAGAACCCGTAGATGATGAAGATGAAGGCGAGCCGAAAGAAGAAGATGAAGGAGAACCCGTAGATGATGAAGATGAAGGCGAGCCGAAAGAAGAAGATGAAGGAGAACCCGTAGATGATGAAGATGAAGGCGAGCCGAAAGAAGAAGATGAAGGAGAACCCGTAGATGATGAAGATGAAGGCGAGCCGAAAGAAGAAGATGAAGGAGAACCCGTAGATGATGAAGATGAAGGCGAGCCGAAAGAAGAAGATGAAGGAGAACCCGTAGATGATGAAGATGAAGGCGAGCCGAAAGAAGAAGATGAAGGAGAACCCGTAGATGATGAAGATGAAGGCGAGCCGAAAGAAGAAGATGAAGGAGAACCCGTAGATGATGAAGATGAAGGCGAGCCGAAAGAAGAAGATGAAGGAGAACCCGTAGATGATGAAGATGAAGGCGAGCCGAAAGAAGAAGATGAAGGAGAACCCGTAGATGATGGAGATGAAGGCGAGCCGAAAGAAGAAGATGAAGGAGAACCCGTAGATGATGAAGACGAAGGCGAGCCGAAAGAAGAAGATGAAGGAGAACCCGTAGATGATGAAGACGAAGGCGAGCCGAAAGAAGAAGATGAAGGAGAACCCGTAGATGATGAAGACGAAGGCGAGCCGAAAGAAGAAGATGAAGGAGAACCCGTAGATGATGAAGACGAAGGCGAGCCGAAAGAAGAAGATGAAGGAGAACCCGTAGATGATGAAGACGAAGGCGAGCCGAAAGAAGAAGATGAAGGAGAACCCGTAGATGATGAAGACGAAGGCGAGCCGAAAGAAGAAGATGAAGGAGAACCCGTAGATGATGAAGACGAAGGCGAGCCGAAAGAAGAAGATGAAGGAGAACCCGTAGATGATGAAGAAGAAGGCGAGCCGAAAGAAGAAGATGAAGGAGAACCCGTAGATGATGAAGATGAAGGCGAGCCGAAAGAAGAGGATGAAGGAGAACCCGTAGATGATGAAGATGAAGGCGAGCCGAAAGAAGAAGATGAAGGAGAACCCGTAGATGATGAAGATGAAGGCGAGCCGAAAGAAGAGGATGAAGGAGAACCCGTAGATGATGAAGATGAAGGCGAGCCGAAGGAAGAAGATGAAGGAGAACCCGTAGATGATGAAGATGAAGGCGAGCCGAAAGAAGAAGATGAAGGAGAACCCGTAGATGATGAAGATGAAGGCGAGCCGAAAGAAGAAGATGAAGGAGAACCCGTAGATGATGAAGATGAAGGCGAGCCGAAAGAAGAAGATGAAGGAGAACCCGTAGATGATGAAGACGAAGGCGAGCCGAAAGAAGAAGATGAAGGAGAACCCGTAGATGATGAAGACAAAGGCGAGCCGAAAGAAGAAGATGAAGGAGAACCCGTAGATGATGAAGACGAAGGCGAGCCGAAAGAAGAAGACGAAGGAGAACCCGTAGATGATGAAGACGAAGGCGAGCCGAAAGAAGAAGATGAAGGAGAACCCGTAGATGATGAAGACGAAGGCGAGCCGAAAGAAGAAGATGAAGGAGAACCCGTAGATGATGAAGACGAAGGCGAGCCGAAAGAAGAAGATGAAGGAGAACCCGTAGATGATGAAGATGAAGGCGAGCCGAAAGAAGAGGATGAAGGAGAACCCGTAGATGATGAAGATGAAGGCGAGCCGAAAGAAGAGGATGAAGGAGAACCCGTAGATGATGAAGATGAAGGCGAGCCGAAAGAAGAAGATGAAGGAGAACCCGTAGATGATGAAGATGAAGGCGAGCCGAAAGAAGAAGATGAAGGAGAACCCGTAGATGATGAAGATGAAGGCGAGCCGAAAGAAGAAGATGAAGGAGAACCCGTAGATGATGAAGATGAAGGCGAGCCGAAAGAAGAAGATGAAGGAGAACCCGTAGATGATGAAGATGAAGGCGAGCCGAAAGAAGAAGATGAAGGAGAACCCGTAGATGATGAAGATGAAGGCGAGCCGAAAGAAGAAGATGAAGGAGAACCCGTAGATGATGAAGATGAAGGCGAGCCGAAAAAAGAAGATGAAGGAGAACCCGTAGATGATGAAGACGAAGGCGAGCCGAAAGAAGAAGATGAAGGAGAACCCGTAGATGATGAAGACGAAGGCGAGCCGAAAGAAGAAGATGAAGGAGAACCCGTAGATGATGAAGACGAAGGCGAGCCGAAAGAAGAAGATGAAGGAGAACCCGTAGATGATGAAGATGAAGGCGAGCCGAAAGAAGAAGATGAAGGAGAACCCGTAGATGATGAAGATGAAGGCGAGCCGAAAGAAGAAGATGAAGGAGAGCCCGTAGATGATGAAGATGAAGGCGAGCCGAAAGAAGAAGATGAAGGAGAACCCGTAGATGATGAAGATGAAGGCGAGCCGAAAGAAGAAGATGAAGGAGAACCCGTAGATGATGAAGATGAAGGCGAGCCGAAAGAAGAAGATGAAGGAGAACCCGTAGATGATGAAGACGAAGGCGAGCCGAAAGAAGAAGATGAAGGAGAACCCGTAGATGATGAAGATGAAGGCGAGCCGAAAGAAGAAGATGAAGGAGAACCCGTAGATGATGAAGATGAAGGCGAGCCGAAAGAAGAAGATGAAGGAGAACCCGTAGATGATGAAGATGAAGGCGAGCCGAAAGAAGAAGATGAAGGAGAACCCGTAGATGATAAAGATGAAGGCGAGCCGAAAGAAGAAGATGAAGGAGAACCCGTAGATGATGAAGATGAAGGCGAGCCGAAAGAAGAAGATGAAGGAGAACCCGTAGATGATGAAGACGAAGGCGAGCCGAAAGAAGAAGATGAAGGAGAACCCGTAGATGATGAAGACGAAGGCGAGCCGAAAGAAGAAGATGAAGGAGAACCCGTAGATGATGAAGACGAAGGCGAGCCGAAAGAAGAAGATGAAGGAGAACCCGTAGATGATGAAGATGAAGGCGAGCCGAAAGAAGAAGATGAAGGAGAACCCGTAGATGATGAAGATGAAGGCGAGCCGAAAGAAGAGGATGAAGGAGAACCCGTAGATGATGAAGATGAAGGCGAGCCGAAAGAAGAAGATGAAGGAGAACCCGTAGATGATGAAGATGAAGGCGAGCCGAAAGAAGAAGATGAAGGAGAACCCGTAGATGATGAAGATGAAGGCGAGCCGAAAGAAGAAGATGAAGGAGAACCCGTAGATGATGAAGATGAAGGCGAGCCGAAAGAAGAAGATGAAGGAGAACCCGTAGATGATGAAGATGAAGGCGAGCCGAAAGAAGAAGATGAAGGAGAACCCGTAGATGATGAAGATGAAGGCGAGCCGAAAGAAGAAGATGAAGGAGAACCCGTAGATGATGAAGATGAAGGCGAGCCGAAAAAAGAAGATGAAGGAGAACCCGTAGATGATGAAGACGAAGGCGAGCCGAAAGAAGAAGATGAAGGAGAACCCGTAGATGATGAAGACGAAGGCGAGCCGAAAGAAGAAGATGAAGGAGAACCCGTAGATGATGAAGACGAAGGCGAGCCGAAAGAAGAAGATGAAGGAGAACCCGTAGATGATGAAGATGAAGGCGAGCCGAAAGAAGAAGATGAAGGAGAACCCGTAGATGATGAAGATGAAGGCGAGCCGAAAGAAGAAGATGAAGGAGAGCCCGTAGATGATGAAGATGAAGGCGAGCCGAAAGAAGAAGATGAAGGAGAACCCGTAGATGATGAAGATGAAGGCGAGCCGAAAGAAGAAGATGAAGGAGAACCCGTAGATGATGAAGATGAAGGCGAGCCGAAAGAAGAAGATGAAGGAGAACCCGTAGATGATGAAGACGAAGGCGAGCCGAAAGAAGAAGATGAAGGAGAACCCGTAGATGATGAAGATGAAGGCGAGCCGAAAGAAGAAGATGAAGGAGAACCCGTAGATGATGAAGATGAAGGCGAGCCGAAAGAAGAAGATGAAGGAGAACCCGTAGATGATGAAGATGAAGGCGAGCCGAAAGAAGAAGATGAAGGAGAACCCGTAGATGATGAAGATGAAGGCGAGCCGAAAGAAGAAGATGAAGGAGAACCCGTAGATGATGAAGACGAAGGCGAGCCGAAAGAAGAAGATGAAGGAGAACCCGTAGATGATGAAGACGAAGGCGAGCCGAAAGAAGAAGATGAAGGAGAACCCGTAGATGATGAAGACGAAGGCGAGCCGAAAGAAGAAGATGAAGGAGAACCCGTAGATGATGAAGATGAAGGCGAGCCGAAAGAAGAAGATGAAGGAGAACCCGTAGATGATGAAGACGAAGGCGAGCCGAAAGAAGAAGATGAAGGAGAACCCGTAGATGATGAAGACGAAGGCGAGCCGAAAGAAGAAGATGAAGGAGAACCCGTAGATGATGAAGACGAAGGCGAGCCGAAAGAAGAAGATGAAGGAGAACCCGTAGATGATGAAGACGAAGGCGAGCCGAAAGAAGAGGATGAAGGAGAACCCGTAGATGATGAAGATGAAGGCGAGCCGAAAGAAGAAGATGAAGGAGAACCCGTAGATGATGAAGATGAAGGCGAGCCGAAAGAAGAAGATGAAGGAGAACCCGTAGATGATAAAGATGAAGGCGAGCCGAAAGAAGAAGATGAAGGAGAACCCGTAGATGATGAAGATGAAGGCGAGCCGAAAGAAGAAGATGAAGGAGAACCCGTAGATGATGAAGACGAAGGCGAGCCGAAAGAAGAAGATGAAGGAGAACCCGTAGATGATGAAGACGAAGGCGAGCCGAAAGAAGAAGATGAAGGAGAACCCGTAGATGATGAAGATGAAAGCGAGCGGAAAGAAGAAGATGAAGGAGAACCCATAGATGATGAAGATGAAAGCGAGCGGAAAGAAGAAGATGAGGAAGAATCCATGGAAAGCGGTCGCCACATGAATGAATCATTCATTCATCATATTAGAAATAGGACGGTATTTGTTGATATGTTCGTCACACGCGTAGTTAGTAATGTATACTATAGGATTATCGCTAATATGTAGTAGCCGTAACTTGTTCTGCAAAAATCTACTGGAGTATAAAGAATAGTACCTGTTGCTTTTCAAGTGATGGAAAATTTGATCAGGGCAGTAATCACTCTTTGTTTACAATAAAAATGATTAAGAAAAGATATTCGTAAAGTTTATGCGGCTCTGCAGAAGAACTGGAGTGTTTTTTTTTGGCTGGATTTGTCCTCTAATTTATTTTCTTCAAACTGTTAACCCGTTTTTATAATTCGCTTAGCCCTTTAGACTTTTTAGCTTCCAGGATTACGGTAATTCTATGGCTATTTCACCACATAGATCCAAGCATTTGGTAAGATGAGACAGACTACGAAAGAGTATAGAAGGTTTATTATGGAAGCACGGCACACGCATACGAATATAAGCAGCACAGCCGGTGGGGTGTGTTAACATTAGCGAGATCGGAGTATGCATTCAAATTTCTTTTGGCGGTCGTTCCTGCTCCTCTGAATCGGGTTATCAATCGTCGTTGGGGCTATGCTTTGGGCTCGTATGCGGCACGGCCCCATCGCTGGTACACATTGGACTAATCCTCGTACTTTGGCGCAAGCTGTGACTGTCCCACAAAAAGCGCAGATCAGTAATAGGGACCCTGGTCAGGGCTCGGAGGAAGAGGAGCTTTCACACGCGGGATATCGTTTTTTAAGGGGAAAACAGAAGGTAAATCGTAATATTGCCAGGGGTGTTACCCGGATCTGGCAAAATGTTCGCAAGCAAAATCCTCAAACGTCATTTTACCAGTAACTAGTAAATTTACACGCTACAAAGACGATTCGTTCACAAACTTTTCTGCACACGATTCCAACGTGTTAAGACATGATCTTCATACACAAAAAGTAAATAACAGTTTGTTTATTAGGACTAAGCGATATTAAGCCACCAAATTTGGTATATAGCTTTGCGACGATGATCAAAACAAATGTATGAAATATAATATTATGAAAACATTACGTGAAGGAAAGGAGTTGTAAGTGTTTTTCTAATTTAGGTAGCTCCCGCGCAATCTGGGAGCACCTCGAGGTTGCGCGGGATCAAATAAATTGATAATGATTTGCCCCCATCTCCACATAATTCTTCAGAAATTTTTACATAAATCTCTTTTTTAGTTCAGGTTCTGCCTATACGCACTCATGTTGACCAAAGTTTCATCCTCTCTGCTTTGCTATGGCCCTTAATAATATGAAAAACCTCGCCTCTCAAAGTTCTATCTCCAACTTTCCCGACTTTTCTTCACTTTTATCCGTTCACGCTTAGCTGCACATCATAAGCCGTACTTTCTAAAAAATACTAAAGCTTATTCGTAAATTGCTTCAGTGTCAAAGGGGATCTGGTTTTCAAGATCCACAAATGCCACCTCGTGCTGGGCCCTGACCCTAGTGTTTTTGGAGTAAAAGATGTCGTGTATGATGCATAACAATCGCTCCAAGAGCGTCCAAGATGCGACATCCTGCGAGTACAAACCGCAAGCTGGAGCGGGCATGACGCATAGCTCTGACCGCTGGATCCCATAAGGACTTCCTGTCTCCAGCCTGGCGATTCTTGTTTTACACGTGCTCATTAGGTTTCAGCAAGTTCTAGTTCTCGAAATTTTTGCTTCCTTCAGCATGGATCTTTGGAATAGCGGAACAGATAAGCCCAGAAAAGCGACATTTCAAATCAAAGTTTTGCCGGGAGACAGTAGGCTTGACAAAGATAGATAATCTCGCTGACGTCAAGTTCCGTCGATTAAATATATCATAACTGTTTGTTATCCATTCATTGGTCAAGAGCCAGAAAATAGACGAAAACTGGTCAAGGATACTTTCAGAGTCACAACACTTACAAGGGAGGCGCAGTCCGAATTGCCGATTACTACAGCATACCTTTACAAAAAACGCTTGGAACACTAATTTTGAATCTGTTTTCCTTATCTGCAGAACGCTTTCGGGAGCCAATTATGGGCTTTTCATCATCAAAATTTGGCGCTTGTTGCGCTAAGGGATAACCAAGAAGGAGCAGCATCACATTATGCACGTATAAGATGTTCTAAGTAGATTTAAGTCCATTGCTTAAAGGCAGTGTCCGGGCAAAAACTCGATTTTGAGATTTTGCGCTTATCCGGGCTTATTCGCTACGCTGAACTCGAAAATGCACACTGGAGAGCGGGAAAACGGCGAAAAATGGCTCTAACAGGAGGGTAATCAGCAGGTGGGCGGCTCCTCCCCACTGTGAATTCACGCTCTCGGCTTCGGGAGCGATCTTCTCGCATCCGACTTCAAGTCAATCATTCGCAGATGGCCGGTGGCGATGTTAGGACGGCTAGCGTAACCGAGGAGATCACTCCGAAATTGAGGACTACTTCACAGAGTGGAGGACCACGCCCACTTGCTGTTTCCCTCCTGCGCTAGAGCCGTTGTTCGCCGTTTTCGCGCTTTCCAGTGTGGATTTTCGGACTCAGCATATAGGCCCGTGTAAGCACAAAATCTAAAAATTGATTTTCTGCCCGGATACTGTCTATGAGTGTTGATAATTCTAACTACTCTCAGCCTTGCAAATTCTGCGCAAACATCTGTACTGATTATGAAGATGACTTGGACATGGCCCCTCCTGGAATCGAATTTTCAGCGTACAATTTTCCATACATCAGGCTAACGCTATGTGCATCTAAGCCAGTTGATCCGATCTGGATGAGGAATGATTCCTGATCTACACTTTCGCAAATAACACATGAAACGACAGAGTCAATAAGTTGCCTGTCTTCAGTATTCCAATGTTAATGATGTTCAGCTCTCACTGTTGTGTTCCCAGTGACCATTGCAGCCTACCTGGGTAAGATAGATTCTATCACCTGCTAAGCAGACTGTAAATTAACTAGTCCTAGAATGGAGCGCCTGTAGACCATAAAGACATTAAATACGAGCATCTGATTGTTTCTTGATTATGAGCAATATATTTCAAATAATAACCATTAACTGCAGACAAATCAATAATTGAAACAAATAGATCAGTTTTTGAAGTTGTTAGTGAAGAACTATAAAGAAGAATGAGGCTGTCCTGAATTCACCCAAAACGAAGCACTTTATTTGGTTGGAAACATCGAACAGATCTTTCATCAGATTACGCCTCTGCTTTACAAATTTGCATACAGATTGCATGCGACGATCTTATATGAATGTGTGCATACAAATGGTTTTATATGGAATACTATTGAAGTTATTGTGAAATAACCAATATTATTATCGTAAAATCTTTTGTGCCATAGTATTCCCATAATTTTTGCTCATTCTGATTAAGCAGGTAAGGCATAGATTATAAGGCTAAAAGCTTAGGTTGATAACCAAGGCTTCCTCAACGAACTATCCTTCAATTGATATTCTGGCTGGAGCTCGTAGGTCGGGTGATCTAATACGAGCGGGTTGAGAAAGATGGAGGGGGGGGGGGAAGGAAGAGCGGAATATGAGCATGAGATTTGATTTTGATAACGTCCATTTGGAAGCTTATTCATAGCTTTTAGCAACTTTGTCATTTTTTGCAGATCTTGAGAAGCTGGATTCATCTGGAGGATAAGTGTGCACGCTTTTTTACAGGGCTCGGCACGAGGTGGCTAGTTGAAAGTGCAAAGCGATGTCCCCTTTGACTTTTGCTCCAAAAAAATCCCCAAAAAACAAAACGTCGACAAATAAAGGCGTCGCAAATTTGTCCCTTCGGCCACAAAACGAAACTCCCTTTGCTTTTTGTCCCAGAACGACGTCTCCAGCTTGCTTATAAGCCATGTGCCGAGCCTTGGCTTCTTATCAACGTTACATCGATTTTTCAGTTCCAATTGCAAGCTGTTGGGATCTGATCGCGGTATACATGGCTGGCTGAACATTTTGATTACGAGAAGATTTGTCTATGAAATGGTCAGTATTATTCAACTTTTCCATTTCTATGATACAGAATCTGTGGCAATTGGGACAGAACTGGCATCTAGAACGAGATAAAATGAGGAACCGACTACATAATACGACCGAAACCAAGAGGAAACTTGTATATAACATATAGATTTTTGGCCAATAATTTAAAACGTTGGAGCCACACACTTTGCACTACGATTTGCCATTTTTAAAAGCAAACCTGGTTAAATTACACGCAACTCATGTTTTCAATAGCGATCAGTACAATACTGCTCTCAGAACATGCAAAATTCCCGTGAATGTCGCGGAATTCCGCGACATACCGGAAATTCCGCGGAATTTTCGGAATAGCGCTATAACTTCCTTCAGAATGCATGAATTCTGAATCTGAAAGAAGGGTTATACTCAGCTAATTAAAGCGGGTTTTTTGGTGCATTGCCTTACCGTATTTTTCTGGATACGGTGGGTGTACGGCAGTAAACGAGTTCTTTTGCGATTTGTCAGATATTCTATTGGGAGAGGGGGGGGGGGAGGGAGGAGGAGGAGTAATCGATTGCATTGGTCGCCTAGTTTAAAAAATGCGAACGTACCGTGATGATGTCGTCGAAGTTGTTGTTAATTCTCTCTCGTATTTTTTTAGTAGCTCTAAATCAGCACCTCTTTATCACTAAAGGCTCCGGTGGGTACGATTATAGGACACGAATATTGTATTCAGCGAGCACCTCCCCCCCCCCCCCCCCCCAGTAGCAAAAGCATCTCCTACCGTATACCCGACGTACCGCGATAAATGCGGTAAGAATGTAATAAAAGATGCGCCTTAGTGAGCTGAGTATAGACCTTTCAAATCCAGAATTCACGCATTCCGAATGCAGTTGTGGTGGTATTCCGGGGATTCAGCGATATTCCCGGAATGTTGCGGAATTTCGGGAACGCCACGGAAATTTCGCACGTTCCGAGGGGTATTGTATGTAATTCTCAAAAAGCGAATGCTAATGTTCATCACTTTAGCAGATAACATGAATGCTTATAGCTCTCCAAAAATATGATCGGTTTCCAGATTCGTGTGGTTCCGGACCTTCCCTGAGTATAAGGATAAAGTTAACG